GGCATCACAGCTCACAGTAACCTCAAACTCCTGGGCTTAAGTGATTCTCTTGCCTCAGCCTCCCAAGTAGCTGGGACTACAGGTGCCTGCCATAACGCCCAGCTATTTTTTGGTTGTAGTTGTAACTGTTGTTTGGCAGGCCCAGGCTGGGTTCAAACCCACTAGCTCCCGTGTCTGTGGCTAGCGCCTTAACTGCTGAGTCTCCTTTCCTATTTTTTAAGCTTAAGTAAAATATTCTTAGGATGTTCATCTTTATGTGACTCTTTGAACAGAACATATTTAGTCTAAGGCATTGTTAATTCAAAAGAAAACAGAAGTGTGGAGGAGGACAGCAAGTTTATATTCTATTCTTTTTAAATTGTGAGGCTCAGCACCTGTAGCACAGTGGTTATGGCGCCAGCTATATACACTCAGGCTGGCGGTTCAAACCCAGCTGGGGCCAACTGCAGCCAAAAAATAACTGGGGGTTGTGGCAGGCACCTATAGTCCCAGCTACTGGGAGACTGAGGCAAGAGAATCGCTTAAGCCCAGGAGTTTGAGGTTGCTGTGAGCATGACGCCATAGCACTCTACTGAGGGTGACAAAATGAGACTCTGTCTCAAAAATAAATTGTCCTGAGTTAATTTCTTTTAAGAAGGAAGTGTGGGTTTTCTGTCCAGTTTTTAGGTGGTGATTTATGAAAGAATATCTTTCCCACTGTGTTAGCAGCTAATTTATAAATGTATATGCTAATTGATAATTAGTTGAAATCTAACAGAAATAAGGCCTGCTTTTTTCTTTTCTTCCTGAAAGTATTAAGAGTTACTGATTCTGTTACAGTGTAGACGACCAATAATAGTATCTATCAAATTGCATCAAATGATATTTATCCCAGTATGCTTTTTTTTTTTTGGTACCAAAATTTTTATTTACCCACCTTCATGGTTTCTTTTAACATTATAAACCAAATTAATCTCTTTTTGACCCAAGTTTGGGATAGGAACCATCATGTTACAAAGTAGTGGCAGATTTATGCCTGCTTTTGTTTTTCTGGCCCCCTCCAACCTATGGCTGTCACTTGTCCTTTCTTTGTTGTCCTTTAACAGTCTAACCCCTATAAAATAGGGACTGAAAGTACTAATCTCGTTGTTAAGAGGGCTAAGAAAAAGCCAGGCTCTTGGGAACATTCAGACTCCCAGTGGTTCCCTTCAGTAAAGCTCCTTCTCAGGTTGGGTGTGGTGGCTCATGCCCATAATCCTAACATTTTGGGAGACTGAAGCAGGAGGATCACTTAAGGCCAGGAGTTCAAGACCAGCCTGAGCAAGAGTGAGACCCCATCTTTACAAAAAATAGAATAATCGGGTGAATGGGTAGAGGGAGGGTGATTGGAGGGGTCACCTCTATGGTTTGTCCTACAAGGGTACAAGTGAATCTTTCTAAAAGTCTCAACTCAATAACTAAGAAAAAGACACGAAGGCTACGTTAACCAGTTTGATGGGAGTATTTCAGAATGTATATGAAAACACCACACTGTACCCCATGATTGCAGTACCCCATGATTGCATTAATGTACACAGCTATGATTTAATAAAAAATCTTTAAAAAAAAAAAAAACAAAAAATAGAATAATCAACTGGACATGATGGGATGAGCCTAGTCCTGGCTACTCAGGAGGCTGAAGTAGGAGAATCACTTGAACACAGGAGTTTGAGGTTGAAGTGAGCTATGATGATACCACTACACTCTAGGCAATAAGACAAAGCAAGACCCTATTTCAAAAAAAAAAAAAAAAAAAAGCTTATTCTCATCTGTCATGGTCTGATGGACTAGTTAACCTGTAAACCAAACACATGGGCCCACAGGCTAGGTGAAAAGTCTAGAGGATAAGATACATGGGTTTTGTGACCACCACTACCAACTTCCAGCCTAAAGGACTGACTAGTGAGCAGTTCCAGGACCACCGAGCTCATGGTATACTGCAGATATATCCTTCTCTCATGAGCAGCCCTTGAGGAGAGCCCTCTCAATTCCCCCTGCCACACTTAGAGCAGTTGAGGGATTCAGCAGAAGCCGCAGACTTGAGTGAACAGCCCCAGGGAGTCAGTAGAGGCACATAGACAAACCAGTCTCAGAGTTGGTACCATCTGATCTTGGGGAGGTGAGGTGGGGCCTGGGCAATGACAGCAGCTGAAAGGTGCAGAGCAGGCCTGTCTCTCAGTAGCGGTAGTGATCAGGCTTGAAGGGGCCATCACGGGGCATACCCAGGTACTTGGCCTGCTTCTTAGTCAGCTTGGTCAGCTTCACGTTCAGCTTACCCAGGTGGGCTTCAGCCATTGCCTCATCCAGCTTTTTAGGCAGGAAGTGAACCCCAATGGGGTACTTGTCTGGGTGAGTCCAAAGTTCAATATGTGCTGAACCTGGTTGGTGAAGGAATTGCTCACCAAGAAGCTGCGGTGGCCCATGGCACAACCTAGGTTGACCAGCCGGCCCTCGTCCAGCAGGATGATGCGGCACCCATTCTTCAGCAAGTATCAATCCACCTGGGGCTTAATGTTCACCTTCTTTACAGCATTCTCATTAAGCCACTTGACATCTGTCTCCACATCAAAGTGTCCAGTGTTACACATGACAGCATCATCCTTCATCTGCTCAAAGTGCCGACCAAGAATTATGTCAATACAGCCTGTGGTGGTGACAAAGATGTTGCCCTCTTGACAGCCCTCCATGGGAGCCTGTAGTGTGATGATGGGAGCCTTGGTGGTGATGACGTGGGCCCGAAACCTCTCAGAGCCTGGGCACAGCCTTTGCCTATATCACCATAGCCTGCTACTACTGCCACCTTGCCTGCAATCATCACATCTGTGGCCCGTTTGATGCCATCAATGAGGGACTCCCTGCAGCCATAGAGGTTGTCAAACTTGCTCTTGGTGACAGAGTCATTGACATTGATGGTGGGCACTTTCAGGATCCCATTGGCCATCATCTTGTATAGGTTGTGGACCTCAGTTGTGGTCTCCTCAGAGATGCATCAGATGCCCAATAGGAGCTGTGGGTTCTTGGTGTGGATAAGGTTGGTAAGGTCACCACTATTATCCAAAACCATGTTGAGAGACCCATCCTTGAAGTACGTCTGCTCAATGAACCACAGGTACTCCTGGTCAGTCTCACCCTTCCAGGCATACACTGGAATGCCTGCCTTGGCAATGGCAGCTGCTGCATGGTCCTAGGTGGAGAAGATGTTGCAGGTAGACCACTGCACTTCAGCACCTCAGCACCCAGGGCGATGAGGGTCGCAATGAGGACAGCAGGTTCCATAGTCATGTACAGGCAGCTGGCGATGCGGGCGCCCTTCAGCAGCTTGGAGGCCAAGTACATCTCCCTCATGCACATCAGGCCTGGCATCTCGTTCTCTGCAAGGTCCGTGGCCTTGCATCCCCAGTCCACCAGGCTGATGTCAGCGACTTTGTAGGGCAATTTGTCAGACATGATGGCAGTGCTTCTGCATGCAGTGGTGGACACGGGCAAAGGGGGTGGGCCTGGCACTGGGAATGGTAGTCGACAGGCGGCGCCGCAAAGGCAGATTGGGGTTAAATTTTTGGTGTTAACTGTGATTGAACTCATCACAGTTTCCTCATTTATAAAAGGAAGATAATATTTGCTGTTTAGAATGGTTTGAGAATTAAAGGAGATAATATGTATAATGGTATAAGGTTTCTCCCACCATGTCTTACACCTATTATTGTTTTTTGGAGACAGAGTCTTACTTTATTGCCCTCAGTAGAGTGCAATGGTGTCACAGCTCACTGCAACCTCCAACTCCTGGGCTTAGGTGATTCTCTTGCTTCAGCCTCCTAAGTAGCTGGGACTACAGGAGCCCACCACAATGCCCGGCTATTTTTTGTTGCAGTTTGGCTGGGGCCCAGTTCAAACCTGCCACCCTCAGTATATGTGGCCAGGGCCTTACCCTGAGCCACAAGCACTGCCTGACTCAAAAATTAATACACTTTTCCTACCAAAATTTAGAAAGATTGGAGAATCTTGAGACAAAGGAGGTGAAGTTTGTTTCTCTTCTGCTTCTTGGTTTGATTTGAGGTGGCATAGGAAGATTAGCAAGGAGAGAAGAAGCATAAGGATTTAGAAAATAGAATTTTAAATTTATTTCTACAATCATGTTGTGGGAATTGTCATAGTTTAACTTAAGAAATAGGAATGTCATAAGTACAGAGTTATTGAGAGAATAAGAGAAGCATAGAAATGTCGTGACTTTTTAAAAAAAATTTTACCTTTATGAAGTTCTTATGAATTAGTTGACACCTGTGTGTTTGGAAGTTTCAGTAATTGAATTAAACATATCCAACCTTTGTTCTCTCATCATTAATGCTTCCAGGTATTAATGGGATAATTAAAATTAATTTATAGGTGTGATATCCTATTAGACTTCTTAAAATTCATGTTTGGAAAAGATAGTGGCATCTTTATGGTTTTTTATTTAATGTAACCCTTTTCGCTTTGAAAATAGTTTCAAGATTATAGTAAAATTACAATAGCACAAAGAGCTGTTATTTACTTTTTGCCCAGATTCTGTAATTATTAATGTTTTGTTTCATTGATTTTATCATATTCCCTTTTTACCTTTCCTTCCTTTTCCTTGTCTCTGGAACCAGGAATGTATATCAAAATCACCTGGAAAACATTTAGAAAGTGTGTATTTTTATTGAACCAAGCAGGTGTATTCTGGAGGAAAAACAAACTCCCTCTCTGGTTACGTGGATATGCATATCAGAATTAGTTAACTGTAATATGATGGTAAGTTTATTCTTTCTTGATGTGGGCAGAGGGGCCCTCAGAATCATAGTAGGGTTAATTGCACAGCCTGGAGTGTATTTGATTTAGTCTGCAGCTTTTCAATACATTGTATTATCCTCTGGATAATAATTTATAAATAATATTTATAAATAATTTATAAAACCACTAGACAGAAGTGCCAGATTATCTCCAGAATGGATAATTACTTGGAGTTACTTTCTCAATAGCAACACTCTGTCTCTAAAAATAAATAAAAAATAAATTGGGTACATAAATATTTAGAATTGAAATATCCTCTTGTTGTATTGTTCCTTTGACTAGTTTGAAGTGACCATCTTTATATTTCTTAACTTTACTTGCATTAAATCTGCTTGTATCTGAAAATAAGATTGTGACCTCTCCTTTCTTCTGATTTCCATTTGCCTATAATATTATTTTCCATCCCCTTATCCTGAGGTTTGTTTTGTCTTTTGAGGCTATGTGTGTTTCTGGAGACAGCATGTGGATGGCTTGTGCTTTTCCCCACTGAAGAGGCACAGGCTGACAGCCAGCCTATGCCTCTTCAGTGGGGAATTCAAGATATTAACATTTATGAAGAGAATTGTTAAGTGTGGTGGAGTTCTATTCATCTTATTTTGTGAAAGTCTATTACTTAGTTTTATCCTTTGCATCATTATGGAAGCTAGGTTTTGTCCTTTAGTTTGTGGGTGTTTACTTTACTGATGGTCAGTGCAGAGAATAGGTCTAAGTATTTTCTGTAGAGCTGATCTTATTGTGGTGAAGTTCCTCAATGTTTGCACATCAGTAAAAGATTTGATTTCTCCATCAATTTTAAAGCTTAGCTTAGTGGGATATAGCATTCTGGGTTGAAAATTGTTTTGTTTATGAAGGTTAAAGGTAGATGACTATTCTCTTCTGGCTTGAAAAGTTTCAGTTGAGAAGTCCACTGTCACCCTGATGGATCTACCCCTGTTGGTCTATTGACACTTACTCTTGGCTGCTTGCAGAATTTTCTTTTTCTTCTTGACTTTGGACAGGTTTAAGGCAGTGTGTCTTGGAGAAGCTCTGTTTGAGTCAAGATGACCCAGGGTTGATATCTCTCTGAAAAGAATGTGTCGTAATCTTTGGTGATACCTGGAAAATTTTCCTTTATGTTATCCTCTAGTAGGACTTCTATTCCTCTGGGGTTTTCTTCTCCTTCTGGGGTACTTATAATTCGTATGTGTGAACACTTTGTGAAGTTCCATAATTCTCTGAGTGAACATTCTGCTTTCTTTCTCTTCTGCTTTTTTAACCGAAGGTGCAGTTAAAGAAGAGAGCTGCCTCAAGAGCTTTATTTATCCTTTAGCTTTGAGATTGTTCTCCCTGGTTTAATCTGTTATTGATACTTTCTACTTCATCTTTAAGTTCCCTGATTAACTCCTTCAGTTCTTTAAGCTCTGGCTCAGAGTCCTTAGCACAGTGGTTAGGGCGCCAGCCACATACACTCAAGGTGGCTAGTTCGAACCTGGCCCGGGCCAGCTAAACAATAATGACAACTGCAACAAAAAATATCTGGGTGTTGTGGCGGGCACCTGTAGTCCCAGCTACTTGGCAGGCTAAGGCAAGAGAATCACTTAAGTCCAAGAGTTGGAGGTTGCTGTGAGCTGTGATGCCATGCACTCTACCAAGATCAACATAGTAAGACTGTGTCTCAAAAAAAAAAAAAAAAAGATATAAAAATTCTTTAGCTCTGGTATATCCTTTTTATATTCTTCATATATTTTTCATCCCTTATTTGGTTCTGTTTTTTGGATTTCCTTTTGGTTATTTTCCACTTTCTTAGCAATTTCCTTCATTGTTTTTACCACTCATATTTTAAATTCCCTTTCTGTCATTTCTAGCATTTCTTTATAGGTAGAATTCTCTGTGGTGGTTACCTCATAATTTCTTGGTGGGGGATGGGTTGCTCTGTTCTGGTTTTTCATGTTGCCAGGATTTTTCGGTTGGTTCCTCATGAGTGTTTTCTACTTGTCCGCTTTGTTCCCCTACTTTTTTCTTTCACTTCCTCCATCTCTTTCTTTCTTTCTTTCTTTTTTTTTTTTTTTTGTGGAGATAGAATCTCACTATGTTGCCCTCTGTAGAGTGCTGTGGCGTCACACCTCACAGTGATTCTCCTGCCTCAGCCTCCTAAGTAGCTGGGACTATAGGCGCCCGCCACAATGCCCAACTATTTTTTTGTCTGTAGTTGTCATTGCTGTTTGGCAGGCCTAGGGAGGGCTTGAACCTGCCACCTCCGGTGTATGTGGCTGGTGCTCTAGCTGCTTGAGCCATAGGTGCTGTGCTCCATTTCTTTAAATTACCTTGTCTCTGTGCTTAGGTGTTGAAGTGTCCTTTTGGTATAGGACCAAAAGGAAAAGAAGAGTGAAGGGCAAGAAGGGAAGAAGATAGAAATACAGAAATGAAAAGGGAAATTGGGGTGGGCGGCGCCTGTGGTTTGAGGAGTAGGACGCCGGCTCTGTATACTGGGTGTGGTGGGTTCAAGCCCGGCCCTGGCCAAAACTGCCAAAAAAAACAAAAAGGAAATTGGGATGTAAATGGAAAGATTGAGAAAAAGAAAAGAACAGAGAGAGACAGGAATAATAGTGGTATTCAGCAGGGTGCTTTGACACCTGCAATTCCTGGCTTCTGGGGGACTGGGATGGGTGCGTCCATTGAGCTTAGGAGCTCCCTATCAGCCTGAGCAAAAACAAGACTACACAAATAGAGAAGGAAAAACAAACAGCAGTATGTCACAGTGGGGCCTCCCCAAAGCCAAAGCTAGAAGGACCACCTAGATCGGGTGCCCTATGGTGCCCCAGCACATGCCTTAGAGTATATAAAGAAAACTAAAAATAAAAATTATGTAAGATGTAAAAAAAAATGGAGGGAAGAGTATCTTAATTGTTATTCGAGAAATTTATGTGGGAAAGATAAAAGTAATAGAAAAAAAGAAATGTAGAAAAATCTTTACAAAAAAAAGAGAGAAGGCGCTGCTCCTGTGGCTCAAGTGGCTAAGGTGCCAGCTGTATACACCTGAGCTGGCAGGATCGAATCCATCCCGGGCCCACCAAATAATGACAGCTGCAACCAAAAAACAGCTAGGCACTGTGGCGGGTGCCTGTACTCCCAGCTACTTGGGAGAAAGAGGTGGGAGAATTGCTTGAGCCCAGAAGTTGGAGGTTGCTGTGAGCTGTGATGCCATGACACTCTACCCACGGAGACAGCTTGAGGCTCTGTCTCAAAAAAAAAAAAAAGAAAGAAATATAAAACAGAGAAAAGGAGAGAAATTGAAAGGAAAGAAAGAATAAAAGGGATAGAAAAACCATAGCAACAATGGAGCCCTTATTACTGAATAATGTAAAAATGGAAGAAGAAATCCAAGAAAGCAAAACAAAAAACCTTAAAGGAAAAAATGTGGGAAAAGAATAGAAGGAGCAGAAAAACTGTAGTAAAATTGGGGCCCTTAGGATTGAAAAAAGAATCAATGAATAATTATAAATGCAAAAAGAAAAAAAAAGAAAAATCTAGGGAGAAAATTATATTGTCAGCTTGGATAGCACAGTGGTTTCAGCCCTAGCCATATATACTGAGGCTGGCGGGTTCTAACCTGGCCCCGGCCAGCAAAAGACCAAAGACAACTGCAACAACAACAAAAAATAGCAGGGTGTTGTGGCGGGCACCTATAGTCCCAGCTACATGGAAGGCTGAGGCAAGAGAATCCTTAAACCTAGGAGTTTGAAGTT